TGCGAACTGCCGCCTCCTGCCTGCGGGGGGAGGGGCGCGCCGAGCCCAGGGCCCGGCTCCCTCTGCGCCCAGCCTGCTGCCCTGGCCCTGCCCGCACCTCCCGCAAACTCCGGTACGAGCTCAGTGTGCAGCGCTGCCGGATCCTGGGAGACCGGCCACGGGGCTGGAGGGCGGCTCGTGCAACCCACGCGCTGGTGTATACAGTCTAGAAGTGAATGAAGCCAAATCCAGTCTCATCTGTCAGATTGTTGCTTCAGTAGCAGAACCTTGCACCATTTCCTCTTTTTCAGGGTTGGCATGAGAGGACGAGAACTGATGGGCGGAGTTGGCAAAACCATGATGCAAAGTGGTGGCACGTTTGGGACATTCATGGCCATTGGCATGGGAATCCGCTGCTAATCTGGAGCATGGGATTGATTTTAACCCGAAGACAAATGCCCCAATTCAGTCATTCCACCTCTGTAATATAATAAAACCTTTGGGTATCTAGAAAGTTAAATTCTCCGTCTCAGTGAGATTGGTATAAGGCTTCAATCGTGCTCTCAGATTCTAACTACAGGGTTTTCTACTGCACACCACACAGCCTCTGGTACGAAGCAGCAGGCCTAGTAGTGACCGAACTTACTGTCCTTCCCTAGGTGGTGAAGAGAACCTGAAATCTGACATTTTAAAGGTAGAAAGCAAAACTGATTAAAGAGCCACCCTCCTACACCTTCCACTCTTCCCATAGCTACAGGAACAGATTAGCTCCCCAGTTAAATAATGCTGTCTGTTCCAAGTGATCTCATAGGTGTCGGCTTTCAGCCTGGGCTTGACCAGCCCTCAGTTCCTTCGGTCTCTTGCCTCTGGGTCTCTGCTGGAATCCCCACTCCTGGAAATGTCCACTATTCCCTGCTGGAGATAGGACTTATTTGCATGATCTTGAGGAGCAGTGCCAAGGACTCAGCCCTGACAGCGGGTGGCCAAAGCCTCTCTCAGAGCTGCAGGGTATCTTCCTTAAACAAGGGGATGGGAAAGTGAAAGCCAGTCACTGTCTGGGACTGGGTTTCCCCAGCTGGCTCCCTACCAGTCTCTAGCGTCCCTTCTTCATGGTCAAGTTTTCCCCTGCTCCATGGCCATTTTCACCTTTGTAAGCTTCCCTTCTTCAGACAAAGCATGCTCTGTGCAGGTATGCTCATGGCACAGTTGGGGGCTGTCCTATCCCTGGCCTCACAAGCCCAGAAAGCTTTCTTGTTCAAGCAGCTGCCAGTCTCTTGGGGAAAAGCATGTTTGCATGCTACTTCCCAGCACCATGCTGCACCTAGCTATGGGACAAGCGTGCCAGCTACCAGCCTTGCACCAAGAGGTGAGAGACCGTTGGAGAGAACAGCCACAGCAAAGTAGGTACATGGGCTGTGACTAGGAAACAGGGCTGCCCAGCAGTTTACCTGGCATTTCCATGAGCCACTTTGATGTGTGAGCCACCTTCTCCCTGGCAAACAGCTTTAGGCTCAAATATAGGATGGGGAACACTGTGCCTGCAAAGTTGCGGGACAGTCCCCCCCCCCTTGCCTGTATCTGCAGCTGTGTAGAGAAAGGACTGGAGACATCTAGTCGGCAAGGACAGACATTCAGCTCAGCTGTACTGACAACATTAAAGCTTCATTGCAATAGCACAGCTCACCTTTGATCTCTTACATAAATCACTTCTAGCATGGCCTAGTTAGGTTTGGCAAAGTGAGCTAACCTCTGGCACGAAAGTGAACACTATTAGGTGACTAACTTGGCAGGCTCCACTTTAAAGTGGAAATGGCCCAAGGAGATTGAGGACAAAGACTGGGATCTGCCACTAATCTTTATTAAGACTGCCACTCTATCACTCATCCACTTGTAGCATAAGAACAGCCCTATTTGGTCAGCCCAAAGCTCCATCTAGCTCAGGATACTGACTTCTGGCAGTGGCTAAAGCCAAATGTCCCAGAGTGAGTAAACAGAACAGGAGAAGGGATCATGTGATGGTTCTCTGTCACCCATGCCCAATTTCTGAGGGGGCAGGGACACGATTCTTACCCTGCCTGACTCTTATGTATTGATGGACCTGACTTCCATATTTGGTCAGCCCAAAGCTCCATCTAGCTCAGGATACTGACTTCTGGCAGTGGCTAAAGCCAAATGTCCCAGAGTGAGTAAACAGAACAGGAGAAGGGATCATGTGATGGTTCTCTGTCACCCATGCCCAATTTCTGAGGGGGCAGGGACACGATTCTTACCCTGCCTGACTCTTATGTATTGATGGACCTGACTTCCATACCCCCTGGCTAATATTACTCCATGGACCCAACCTCCATGACTTGATCTCACTTCTCTTTAAACTCTGTTCTAGTTCTAGTCTTCACAACATCCTGCAGCAAGGAGGTCTACAAGTTGACTGTGCTGTGTGAAGAGATACCTCCTTTTGTTTGAATTAAGCCTGCTACCCATTAATTTCCTTGAGTGACCCCTACTTCTTCTGTTTTGTAAACAGGTAGATAACACTTCCCTATTCACTTTCTTCAGTCCATTCATGATTTTATAGACATCGATCACATCTCCCCTCAGTTGTCTCTTTTCCAAGCTGAACCGTTCTAGTCCCTGTCTTCTTAATCTCTCTTCATTTGAAATCTGCTCCTAATCACTTTTTGTTGTCCTCCTTTGTTCCTCTTCCAGCCCTGCCCCCAGCCAGGGCAGCATTCCACCTTCCTTTGTTCCTCTCCATGGGGGGTGTCTGGCCATACTGGTTTGCATAGTGACTCATCCTGTTTTGCTGGGTCGTGGTACCCACGGCAGCCAGTGGGGGTTATCCCAGAGCCAGCAGCATAGAAACCAGCCAGGTACCCCCACTACGTCACACCTGCTACGGGCATAACTGAAGAGCCAACCTTTGTGTTCAAACTGACCTTAAGTTGATATGGAATTGAACTGTGGCATTGGCTTCGGGGACCAGGACTGTAGTCTGGCTCCTTCATTCTGTAATTCCGTGGTCACCAACCAGTAGATCTCAGGGGCTCTAAGAGTAGCTCTTGAGCCCTCTGTGAACTGCGCACCTGCGCAGTACATTTACATTAGATTTCCTCATGTAATGTAGGCGGGGCTTCAAGGAAGGGGCAGGGCAGTAGATCTTCGCCTGTTCTGAGACTTAAAAAGTGATCTTGGGTGTAAAAAGGTTGGAGACCACTGCTGTAATTCCTTTGCCCCCTCCATTCTCAGTATTACCTCCCATGTCTCAGGTCCTTTGGGGCACAGGCTGAGATCTTTCTCCAACCAGTCCTAGAGTTGTCTCCAGCTGATGGTTTGTGACAGGTTCTCCCCAGGATCCCTGAGAACATGGTATCAAAATCTTCCTGACTTTTGACAGTGACTAATTGACATACTTGAACTGTTTCATAGAACACTAGAATTGGAAGAGACCTCAAGAGGTCCAGTCCAGTCCCCTGCCCTTAGGGCAGGACCCAGTACCATCTGGACCCGTGCTCACCAACCAGTAAATCACGATCTACCAGTAGATCTCAGGGGCTCTAAGAGTAGCTCTTGAGCCCTCTCTGAACTGTGCACCTGCGCAGTACATTTACATTAGATTTCCTTATGCAATGTGGGCGGGGCTTCAAGGAAGGGGCGGGGCAGTAGATCTTTGCCTGTTCTGAGACTTAAAAAGTGATCTTGGGTGTAAAATGGTTGGGACCACTGATCTAGACCATCCCTGATAGACATTTATCTAACCTACTTTTAAATATCTCCAGAGATGGGGATTCCACAACCTCCCTAGGCAATTTATTCCAGGGTTTAACCACCCTGAAGCTATGGCTACACTGGCATGAATTTCCAGAAATGCTTAAAACGGAATACTATTCCGTTTTCAGCTTCTCCAGAAACGGAGCGTCTACATTGGCCGCGGAGTTTCCGTGATAACAATGCGCTTTTCCGGAAAAGCGCGTCTACATTGGCGGCGCGCTTTTCCGGAAAAGCAAAAGCCCGGAACCATTTTGAAAAGGGCAAAGGCCACCAGACCTTTACGGGGGCGGGGCTGGAGCTCCGTCCAGACGCGTGGTTAAAGGGGTCTCGCCAGGTAGCTGTTGGTCTCGTGCTCCCGTGCCTTGGGACCTCTGCCAGGGACTGGCACCCT